AGGATCAGGTGCTCCCTACACCCTACGTCACTGCAGTCGGTCTACTGACGGGCCCGGCCGGCAGGATCCGTCGAGAAACAGGGGGGTCAAGGGAGGTTTTCTTCCCCCTGGGAGAAATGTCCTATGGGTTTTTGGATCTGCGATATAAAAAAGTCTTGTCTCGGTCACGTGATGTGTCACGTGACCGGTCAGGTGAGCCTGTCAGCCGGGTCACGGCCCCTGTCAGCCGGCTGACATGTCACGGGCCTGCTGACACGGTCCGCTGACCGGTCACGGCCGCCCGGAGAGATCAGGCCCCCGGCCAATCTCCGGACACTCCGCCTCCTGGCGGGCCTCCAGGGGGTCTGAGGCGGGGCTGAAGGCTGCAGTCGGTCTACTGACGGGCCCGGCCGGCAGGATCCGTCGAGAAACAGGGGGGTCAAGGGAGGTTTTCTTCCCCCTGGGAGAAATGTCCTATGGGTTTTTGGATCTGCGATATAAAAAAGTCTTGTCTCGGTCACGTGATGTGTCACGTGACCGGTCAGGTGAGCCTGTCAGCCGGGTCACGGCCCCTGTCAGCCGGCTGACATGTCACGGGCCTGCTGACACGGTCCGCTGACCGGTCACGGCCGCCCGGAGAGATCAGGCCCCCATTCCATTGGGTTCTCGACTGGATTTGTTTGTACCAGGCTAGCCTGTTTGTACCGAGGTATAATTGAGTTTTACCGGGTTCAAGGATTTTTGTATCAGGATCCCCTTTCCCCCTCCGTACTAAGTTTGTACTGTCAATGTCAGCAATTCCCGTGGGCTGGCAGTGCTCCCTCGACTATCACCTCTACACCACCGGTATGTTTTACAAGAGATCATGTCAGGGTAGGTAGTCTGATTTCAGGAGTGGGCGAGAATCATAAAAGTCTTGGGCATTCTGGTAGTGGAATTGACGCTGAAAAGCAATCTCTTCGATTACCGTTAGGATTCGAACGCGTGGTCAAACAGCACCCACCTGAGCTAGAGTCTTGTACTCGAGTGGGGTGGCTGATGTGGGTTTGAATCGCCACGCCTTTGACCCCATTATTTCCATTCCAAACCTCGTTGTCGCGTAGGGTGGGTCACACTCTCGAGCGTTGCGAGTTTTACGGTTCGAATTTGACCAAGGTTCACCCTCTACCCCCCAGTCTCTCAATTTCAAATGGGAAAATGATGGGTAGGGGGTCCCCCCATTTGTCTCCACTCCAGCCCCCCCCTCCCTCGACGAACAAGAGATGGTGAGATTGTCCCATTGACGCGCGTGAGGACGATAATGAACAATGTGAGACTTCGAATCCTACCATGCATGGATATGCAGGAAAAGAAGATACGGTTACCTGTCTATTTGTGATGACTTGGTCTCTTCTGTGAAATTCAAGAAGTAGAAAGGGATTTGAACTCAACATCTCATCCTCAACATAAAGCCAATGCAACATCTCTTTCATTACCACGCTGCCTCAAATTGCACTAAAACCACTTAGATCACTTAGCTTGGGCTGAAGATGATGTCAAAGTTGAGCAAATAATTCAAATTCTTGCACAATGACGATTGATTGAAAATGTTCAAGTGTAATTTCAGAATGGACAGAAGATGGCATAGCAACAGCCGATCTCAGCATGTATTTCGAAACTGTGATTGTAAGCAAAAACATCATACGAAATAGTGTCCACCTTGTGTTTCTCTCTGTCTCATGGCCTACGGTATCATTCGTGGCACAACCCTATATGGCCAGTGAGTTGCATCAAGGACACTTTAGATGTGCTGATTGGACAATGGCAGGTACATGATATGGTTGGCGATATTCAGAGTTTTAAGAAGATAATCGTTTGTATCAGATGCTTGTTTCAGACGTGTCGATATGAGATTGCTTTCCACACTGAAAATCACGGCTGTGAATCGTATTATCGTGTTACTGCGGCATTGCCAATGATGTTGATGAAGCATCTTTCATGACAACCCGTGCAAATGCCATCTTATTCTCTCTGCAAATCCTTTCTCGCAATTGCTCCAACCATGCAAATTCAGGAAAATGTCTTGCACACTCCGAGATAGTATTGCATGTTTGACATCTAGGCTGTGATACCAGGGATCAAGCGATATATAGAGTAGGCAGAAGCTGTATCAGTCATGCAAACTTGAATCTGCATAACAACAGTTTCTGAAGATTGTTTATTTGCCAACAAATAAAAGATGCTTCACCATGATGGTGGTTACTGTGGTCCCTTGTATACAACAGCTTTGAAGCAGCACTGTCCTGGTAGTAGCAGTTCACAGAACATAAAGCACGCAAAGGACAGGAGAAACTTCGGGAGGATGTCACAGTAGACAATAACACTCTGAGATACACTTTTCAAAAGAAGGAGATGCAAACAAATAGAATGATGTGAGGATCCTGAATGAATCATGTTGGCAACAAGGTTTGCATTTTCACCAAAGATAATCGAAACTCTACTGATCACAACAGGAATGACAATGAGGATGTGTAAACAATCACATCTGCTAAGCGTTGCTATTGATTGCCAAGCAGAAACACACTTACAACAACCTCATCCTTGTGGTTCTTGCAGGATCATCTTCATGATAGCGGATTCCACAACCAGGAGTTAAAAGAACCCGTAAGCCCAGGGTGCTATTTGTCCATCGAGCTTCAATCGAACTCTGAGGTTGAGATAGGAGGGAACTTTGAATCTCCAAGATCAGGGGTTCATGCAAAATGGAAGGTGGTACATCTTGAAAGTCAATGTTTTCAATGGAGGACATTCTATCTCCATTTCTTCTGGTCTCGATGCCTCTCAACGCAGCTGATCGTGAGCTTATGCGTATTGCAACCCCAGGAAAACATCATCGTTGGCGCGACATGCGTGCCCGACCCATTGCGTCTGATTACAAAATGTAAGGATCTGATTTGACATATCCGAAATATTTGGGCATAATTTCAAATTTGAAGGGTATGTTTGTTTATTTGCCTGAACTGTTCGTTTGTTTGTTTGTCTCTTCTGTATGTCTGTTTGTCTGTCTGTTCTGTGTATGTGTGTTTGTCTGTCGCTGTTCGTTTGTTTGTTTGTCTCTTCTGTATGTGTGTTTGTCTGCGTGAGCAAAACACAGTTTTTTGTTTTGCTCACTACCCCTGCAGAGTCAGTGAAACCCTACGACCATCCAGCAACACCCCCAAAAACATAAGTTGAACGTGGGGTGCGCTTATTATCATATGAGAAGGGGGTAGGTAGTGGGAACACAGCCCCTTTTCTGATCAAACCTCAAACACAAAACGTAGTACCTACCCATTCACTCTGGCCTACCCTACCAAATATCATGATAAATCGGTATAAAGTGTAGGTAGGGGTAGTTTTCCACGGTGTTCAGGGGTGGGGGTTATATCCCTACTATATTACAACCTGTGCAATTATTCTCTACCATGTGTGGAAATATTCCATGTCAAGGGCTCAACATTTGTTCTAAAATTTCATACTCGAACTGTGAAGTCGAGACTAAGCTGAAATGTTCAATCAAATTGCGGAATCATTAGCAACAAATAGTAGTTTTCCCGG